TGGAAAATTTAAGGGGTAGTTATATAATAATTTTGGACGATCTCGGGCGGTCGGATACTTATGACCGCTACTGTATAATAAAGTAAAGATGATTATTTCTTGAATTTGCTTTATATATTAGAATATTGCGATAAATTCAAATTATTTAAATATGATGTTACAGTTTTTCTATTAATTTAAACTTTTATACTAAGCTTTGCTACTTTGATTACAATACATATTTTCTGATTTTTTTCATTATTACCTTATATCTTATATAAAAAAAATTAACCTTTAGAATAACAAGAATAAACAGCTAAGCAAAAAAAAACTATTTATCAATTTTATCAATAATATTTTAGTTGCATCTACATGTTAGACAAGTATTAGGCTTATATAATTGAATAATACAATTAAATAATAAGTAAAAAGGTTATAAATTTGTAATATGCTAGATTATTAAAATTATATTATTAATATTCTACTAATACATAAATTATTCAATAAAAAGATTAATTCATTGATCAAAGGAATTTGTTGTACATTTTTTTTTTAAGATGGCGCTGTTAGATTTATCTGATTGCTAAATATGTAGTTCATCATGTGCCTTGCATCTTTATTCTGATTGGCTAATTCTAAAGTGAAATATTTTTTTCCCCTTTAAAATTCGTCATATATGTTCCCTAATAAAATTATATAAATTTAATTGTTAAGTTTCTTTGTTTCATTATAATGTTTATATTTGATAATTTTATTTAATAATTTAAACAGCCAGTGATTTCAAAATAATCATTATATTAAAATCTATTTAATAATAAAATATATATAATATTCTAAAAATTTAACCTGTTCAACTTTTGACTAAAAAAAAATGGGGTTCTTAATAATCGTAAGATCGTCTATCATAATTTGCCCCGCCAGCCCTTCTAAGCTGCGTGAGAATTTCTTCTTCATCCAATTCGGCTTTATCATGAGCATTAACATCAATAGCACACGCCTATTAAGGCAATTGTACAAATATTGAATTAATAAACGAAATAATTTAAAAAGATCAAAAAACAAACAAAAGAACATTACAAAGTAAAGACTCACCCGAAGAACTTTTTTTACATCACTAACGTGTACGGATAATTTGGCCTTTCTCATAATTTTAACGCCACTACCAACCCAAGTGATAAAAATAAATTTAGTTCGTACAGATAATTCGTCATTTGACACATTAAGTCTTATATAACCAAATGCTGCTTGGTTATCATCTAACTTATCAACAAAATCTTGTAACCCTCCTGTCCCTTTTGATTTTAATGTCAATTTATCTGATCTATCCGAAACATATTGAAGAATTAACCTATATAGAAATAGGTGACAAATAAAAAAAAATCAATTAACTTAATAAATCTCTAAAATGAAAGAAAAAAAAGAAATCAGGTTAGAATTGTTCTTTACCAGCTAGTTTCGTTTTTATCATCTCGTACTTCTTCATATGCGTCGCCTATGATATGATCATATAAATTACATAATCAGATATAAAAATTTATATTATTCGATGTTGTTTTATATTCAATGACAGTACATACAAATTTCTGGGTCGGTGCAATCGGCCATTTTGTTTTGAAAATTTTTTTTTTTTTTTTTAAAGGTTTTTATTTATTTATTTTACGAGTTTTTTTTTTTTTTTTCTGTCGAATATTTATAACAAGGGGTTTATATACCTTTTTTGCATTCGGAAGATTCGGGTACGTGGATCTTTTCCGATTTTAGTTATGAAAGAAGTATAAATCACGCGAACGTAAATCATTCTGCTGAAATCACGGTATTTCGACCCTCAACAGTTTAAATAGGAAATAATGGATTCATGTAAAATTTAAGATGCGGAGAAAAGAAAATAATTTGAAGTCCGGATGGGTAGTACAAGATATTTCGAGCGCAGATTTTAATGCTAACTATATTGTTTAATAATCACAAGTTCCTGCGTGTAGTTTTCAAAGAAGTTCAAAATATCAATACAATATAATGTAATCAAATTAATTATGTAAACCATTTACATACCTGTGTATTTGTCAAAATGGGGATACTTTTTTATTTAACCCAAGGTAAAATTGTTTTGGTTTTGGCTGGGTCCAAACCCGTATTAAAAAATTAAAATAAAAAGTCGAGAAAAGCGAAGGAATTAACACTTTGATGATGAAGTTGAAAAGAAAAAACAGGTAAGATCCATTTGTATTTATATTGATTGCTTCAAGTAAATCAATGCACCACTACGCCACTACGAAAATTGTCAATGTGATCAACGCGACATTTTTCTCAAAAAATACTGGATTCACAAAAAAAAACCAATGTCCACGGGTAACCAGCCGTGAAAAAATTTAAAGCCCTTTTAGCAATCATAATTTCATTACATTTTATCAAAAATTTTGACACTTTCGGATGAATAAAAATTTGACTAGAGCATTTCGTCATGCAACAAGAACCAGGTTTAAAAGAAGCGAATTAAACCACGGTAATAGATAAAATTTTAAGATACCGAATTTCTTTATTCTCTACGAATTTGAATTTTCGCTCATTTTCCCATTTTCAACTTTGTAAAAAAGATCAAATTATAAAAAATTGTATAGTACAAGTTCATCTCATCTAATGAAAACTTGTAAGCATCAGTTATTGTTTGGTTTTTTCTTTTTGTTTTTTTTTTAAAAAAAAATAATAATAATAAAGATACCGTTATTAGAATTTTTCTTAACGAATCAAATTTTTATTAATTGGTCAACATTTAAGACAACAAACAATCATAATTAATATGCACAAATTCAAATAAAATTCAAAAAAGTAATTCCCTCAGCAACATTAATAATCGTTGTTTAAAAAGCGAGAGTTTTAAGACAATGTCCGAACTATTTTCCTATCAAGAAGATTTTTTAATTTACCTTGCATGAAGACCCGCAGGTTTAAATACAATCCTTGATTAATTTGGAAAAATTAAATCAAAGTTTTCTTGATAATGCATAGGATGAAAAAAAAAAACCTTAGATAATGAGATTGCACCGATTGGGACCGATGATCACTCGTCGTACAATTACAAGATCAGGAGACCTAGAAATGAAATGTGCACGAGGTTAAAATGTAAAATATTTTGTTCCTTTTAGTGCAAGCTTTGATCGTCTTGCTATTAATATCCCAATCGAATCACGAGAAATGTAAGTCATGTGATCCGTAAATTTATTTTAGGTTCTATACATGAATGTAAATTTTAATATTTAAAAAATATCACAAGTATAAAGAAGAAATATCGTGTAAACTATTGACTTTTTGACGTTTACAAAAAAGTTTGGTAACTTCCAATAAAATCCTTTTTCAAAGATTTCCCAATTGATGATTCAGCACATGCGTATATCTCTGGCCTGCAGATTGGTGCATGCATGTCAAAAGGAAAAATGCGCTTATCACTAATCATCCTGATAAACAAGAAAAAAAAAATCATAATCGAGACTTAGCATAATTGTTTAAAACCTTTTTTTTTTTAGTTAGATAAGACAATCAATTTTAATTCTCATGAATAAAAGAAGGTTCGAGTCAATCAAAAAAAAAATTTGATTTTGTTGACGGATTTAAAATCTAGTCATACATCTACTTTTCGCCGAAGTTGATAATTTTGTTATGTTCGAGAATTACCAATAGAGAAACCGTGACCCTATTAAGGAAATTATCAATACCCATGTATACGATGTTGATGATTTTGTACCAGGGTATAATTAATAACTTTCGTATCTAATGGAATACCTATGCGAAGACTCGGAATAAAATTTAACATGTAATAAATAACTGGTGACCAATGATTGATTAATTTTGAAACGATCGAAAATTGCTTGTCCTCAAAGAAATGTTTACTTGTGATGCCATTTCACAAAAAAATACCCGATACGTCAATGATTTCACCGGAAATTCCGTTAAATTTTACTTTTTAATCCATTTTAATACAATGGAATAAGAAAATTACTAAGTATTGAGAAATTATTTGTTTACAGACAGTTCATTTTAATTCATGTAATAGGTACTTTCTCACATCATGTGCGCCAATCCATCGTCTCGCATCGGCACGAATAATTTTTGGTGAATTTTTTTTTTATCTCATCTGTTTACAATCTTTCCCGATAAACTAGTTTTTTGGTAACTCAATACAACCCACATTGCATAATTTGGACGATTTGGGTCATTTCATATTATTATATATTGATAAACATAAACCCATTTTTTACACTTTTACATGATATATATTTTCCGATTATTTATTACAAATATTTATGATAAAAAAATTTTCTATGAAATGAAATTAATATTTGTTTTCGTTTAACGAAAAGGGTTATACATAAAATTTCGGTATTGTGATAGATAATATCCAGTTTCAGATACTAAAGGTTAGCTTCGTTCTATTTTTGTCTAGAAATGATTTGGTTATTATCATAAAAACTATTCATTGAGGAATGATGATTTATGAAGGCCAAAAAAGGCACATAAATTCATTATTGATTTAAAAAATGAGACGTACATATTTCATTAAACAAATTCCGTAGCGAGTCGTAACCGACATTGAATCAATGCGAATCTGTTGTATCACTTGAGAGAAGATAACATTTTTATTGTAATGCAGGCAAGGTACTTTAACCTTATTAAACAATTCAAGTCGTAAAAGTTTAGATGACTCCGACATAACGCGAAGGTCGTTACGATTCCTGAGAAAGTATCTTTTTTTAGTAAATATTTATAATTTGGTGTAAAACTGTAAAATTGAATTAAATTTTTTGTTTGGTCATACGCTACCTTATGAACAAAATACATCATTTATTTGGTGTTTCTGAAATATTAAATTCCGACAATATTGGGTCCTTTTTTTAAAATTTATTATCCATTTAAGTATATGTAACGTGGTAACTGCCTTATCATTTCTTGATTATATGATCGACTGAGAGATAGTGACATGGTACAAGCAAGCTTGATACCATTCAAAATTTTTAATTTTGTTTCCCACCCCGAAAATTGAAAATTTACATTCGGCAGAATTTGCAATTCCTTATCAGTAATATATAATATAATAAAAAAAATTATGCATGACTTCCGATTGTTGCTCTTTTGATTAACAAGTGCATTAATTTAACGTATGTAGTTTCTAACATAAAAAAAACTGAAAGGGTTTTATTTGTTGATGACACAACATATTAATCCCTATTAATTTCGATAATACATTACTCGCAACACGTGGATCAACTAGAGCTTTTTTGACTTTATCATCCTTCATCTCGTATAACATAACTGTAATATTTATAAAAAGAGTCTTGAAACCGGTATTTACCTGTTAATTCTTGAAAAAAATCCTTTCTTTTGATATCATATATATATATAGAGTTAAAGTCATTACAATCTTTTTATATAAATTCTCCAGAATTTACTTCCCACAATAGAAAAAATTATAATTATTAAAAAAAAAATTTCAGAACAAGATAGTTCTTTACGTTGATTTCTTTCTTTCTTTCTTTTTTTTTCCTCTTTAACTGCATTTCATTTTTTTTTTTTTTTATTTCTTGCATTTAAAAAAGCTAGATATATAGAATATATAAAGAATTCTTTCCTTCGTTAATTTTTTTCTTTTTTTGAAAAATAAAAAATTAGTGAATGATTGATTAAATTTTTTGATAACTTATCAAAAAGTCTTCTCAATTAGATAGAAAAATCAATTCGTTGTCTAGACATCTACTACATCTACTTCACTTTACCTTATTGACATATTCTTTTTTTTTTTAAAAAAAAAAAAAAATGACGACATCACCAACAAATTCAAATCGCCCTACATACATTAAATCTCATAAAAATGCTTCATTCTCGTATTTGCCGGAATGTGCTTCCTTTCAGCAAGGAACGCTTGGTGACTCGGACAGTCATTTAGTTGGTAATCTACATCTCAACTATCAAAAAACTCATCAAGTTAAAAGTGTTCTCTTACATTTAAAAGGCGTTGAAAAAACGTCATGGCATAAGGCGCAAGCGAGATCCAAAGCGCTGTACACGGGGGAACAGATCCTTGTCGATCAAACCTATAAAATTTGGGAACAGGAGGATCAGGAGAACTCGATCAATCATCTGGACATTCCCTTTAAAGTAAAATTACCTTATAATCTTCCCGAAACAATCACGACGGAAGTTGGATCGGTAAATTACACTTTACGCGCCGTCATTAATAGAAAGGGGGGATTGGTCTCTTCTCCGACTCAAGTGATTGAAGTTAACTGTCCTCTCAAGAGAACCATAAACTTGGAAGGTTCAAACAATGTTCCTTACAAATTACGTGGAGAATCGAGGAGCGGGTTGGATTATACGTTTGTTTTGCCACCAAACAAAAGTTTTAACCTTGGAACTTACGTTTCTATACCGATGAGGATCCGTTTCTTAAGGCCTGGTATAAGCGTTGAACGAGTCGAAATTTCATTGAAAACTTGTATGGATTTTCGATGTAATAATCCGAATGAAACTCGTCATACCAAGGAACATGCGGCCTCCCTTTTGATTCCAAGGCAAGAGATCAAATATTTACAACCTCTTTCGCATCACTACGAAGGTGAATGCGTTCATACCATCAATTTGTTCGTACCTCGTAGTGTGCAACCAACTTATTCCGGTCGTTTCATAAGCATCACTCATCAACTTTGCATCAAATTTTGTTTATGGGGAGCCGATATGGACTTTCAAGTTGAAGAAAGTGTAAGGGTGGCCAACATACATGAAAAATTCACCGTCGAGCCACCATCCATGCCACCACCAAATTCATTGAATAATAATAACAATAATAGCAGCAGCAGCAGTGGTAGTGGCAGCATTCATAATGCTAGAAGCTTGCTTTCACCTCACACTCCAACATTTGATGCGCCCATTGTTGGTCAATATTCACCAAATCCATCGGTTTATGATCCTGATGAGATCAGCATTGAAATAAGGGACATGAAATCAAATAATAATGGATTTGGAATCTCAAGCGGTGGAGATCGATACGCATATCCTGACAAGAATCATCCCGAAATGCAATTATACATGTCCCAGCAACAATTACATAACGCGTCAGTGGGGAGATCACCTTCGATGTCAGATTTTCCACCACCTCCGCCATTTTCTTATCATTCAGAAGGGTATGCAAACAAGTTTTCATTAAATCATGTCAATAAACATCAAGATGATCCAGATGATTCAGTAAATAACAATAATATTAATAATAATGAGTATTATTGGCTATACAAACAAAAACAAGTTGAATTGGCTTTATTAAAACAACAACATCTGTATCACCAAAAAAACTTTTATAATAATATTCGACTCAATAATTCACCTTCTCCGACACCTTCTTCATCTTCTTCCACCATTTCTCTATACGTTAGTCCAAACGTGGCGCCAAAATCACCACCTATTCATCCTCCTCCGTCGACACCGATACCACCACCGATCTCTACATCCGAACGATTTGTCGATGGGTTGCCTTCACCCACCTCTCCTCCAAATTCATCAAAATTACCTCCTTATCCAGTAGAAAGGCGACATTCTACTAGTAGTAACAGCAATGAGAAAGCTCCTCCACGACCCATCGCTTCGCCTCCACCATATCGCGGTCACCTTCAAACGAGACCTTATGTTGAAGCTTATACTTATAATTTCGACGATTAGACGCATACTTCCTGATTTTCTTTTTTTGTAAAAAAAAAAAAAAAAAAAAATAAATTAATAAATAATTGCCCTAGTTACGTTTAATTTATTTTTGTAAATAGTTTTCATGTTTATTATTTAGTTTATTTATTTTATTGTAGTTTACAAAAAAATTTTTGATTATGTAAATTGTAAACCTTTTATAATTTTTATATTTTAAAAAGAAATCATTTGCATTTTCCCATTTGTGTATTTTTTTTCATATTATATATATTTATTTTATACATATAGCTAGTTTTTTTTTTTGATCACCATTTATACATAAAAAACCAAAAAAAAAAAAATAAATAATAACTTGTAATTAATTATCATTGATTTCATAATAAAAACCAAAAAATTTTTATAATTGAATTGTAACCTTTTGTTTCTTTGAAATCATTGTTCAGCAAGTACCCATGGGTTCATTGAGGTCTTGGTATCTTCTTTGACACATACGCTAACGCCAGACTATCCGTAAGTCATTAGGTTAAAAGACGTGATCAATCAATCATCTATACTGCGGATTAATGGATTAAATGAATATTCGAGCAAAATTCGACAATGAAAGGCCTTTTATTTGCGTTATTCGTGTCACGAACGTGTTATATTTTAGTTGCTTTGACCATTCATTATAAATAAATACACATTCCTTTCTTTCTCAAACACAAATTACCCAACATTCGATATAGTGGCTGTATTTTTTTTTGTATCATCATTTTTATTTATATCACAAGAACCTTCTTAACTTCAATGAATTTATAATTGATTTTTTTAAACGTTCATAAAAGGAAATTTACTCATCGAAAGGTTGCTTTTTTTTCATTCAAAATATCAAAATATTCATAATACAAAGTGCCAAAGTTTTCATTTCACATTCAACAACCTTTCGAATTTGGCAATTGCATGTTTAAATGCATGACCATAAAACATTGACTAAATTGGTCATTCTCTTTAAATTACATGGTCGCACTAAACAAAAAATTTTTTTTTTTCCGTAAAAGAAAAAAATTTTTTGCTGCATAAAAAAAAAAAAATTATTTTTTTTTTTTATATGGTGTGATTTGTTTTTTGAAGAGGGGAGGGAAATGTTTTGTTCCTTAATTTATTTCGTAAGAAAACATAAAACAACTTTGATAACGTCGTGTAATTGTTTACTCGGACCTTAAATGAATTAAACGTTCGCAAAAAAACTAAAATTGAGTAGCATTTTGCAGCGCAGCAATGTAACATAAGATTTATTTTTTAAAAAAAAATGTATGCTGGTTACAACATATTAGATGAAATTAAAAAGTTAAATCATTGTAAACAAAATTTGTTCAAAAATTTTTAATTATTCGGGGATATTCGGGTATTCAAAAACTTAATTTAAATTAGAGTATAGTCCGAATTTAAATGATAAAGTTTCGTACTCGACTCTTTTTGGAATATTGATAAACTTTTCATGTATCATATAAAATGTACAGATATCTACAATCTAATCAATTGTAAAACAAGGTCTCTGCATCTTATCAACAATGATTTATTTGATTTTGAGAAAGAATTTTAGAACGTTTCATGAAAAAAATGAAATTTCCATAACAACAGAAGTAATGCCCAGATAATGTGACGAAATTCCTGGACGCTACGGACATTTTCTTGTGCATTCTTTTTTTCATAAGGAGGTAAAGAAAGTGTGACTTTTAAGAGCAAGAAAAATCAAATGATTTTTTTACGAGGATTGGATTACTTGAAGCCTAGCGCTAAAAGATATATTATTCGTCATGTGATTTGTGTTTTTAAAAAATTTATCATATATTTCTTTACTTTACTTAAAAAATTTCTTTATTACTACTTTTTATTACCCTTTGCGTCTACTTATATCCAATACCTTTGTTTCCTTTGCAATTTTAAGTTCGATATCAGCTTTTAAAGATGCTTATTCTTACGATTTCGCTCCTTTTCTTGTAATAGTCATGAAACGTCCACTTGATACCGGAGAATGCTTTTGAAGAATGGGTTGAAGCGTTGGAATTGCGTGAGCTAGAATTTTGCGCGAGTTTGGAGTTCGAAGCCCCAGGGTATAGTTGATTTTTTTTAAAAAAAAAACCTACCTTTTGAAAGTTACAATGAATTAGAGATGAATTATGTGGGAAGATTAGGTTTATAGTTAGTGTTAAAGTTGGTGAGGGTTAAGGTTAATCTCGGAGTAGGGTTAGGTAAGCTATGTAATCGTGCGTTATGGTTAGTAACTATTTCTTGGGCTTTTCCATCGGCAAATATTTTAATAATTTTAATAAATATCTTGTCTCTATAAAAATTAATTTTCAAAAATGACTGGATATCATAAAATGGTCGAAATGGTCAAATTATTTTTTTAACGATTCAGTTGGTTAACTTTATTATAAACTGTTTTAACTACCTTGTGCTAAGTTGACACATACTCGTGTAAGTAAACTTCAAGTTGTACTCTCTCCTACTATCCAACTAATAACACATGTCAAAACCAAATAGTTTCAAAGAAGAGTAAAAGAAAGAGAAAGTTTTCTTTTTTAATATAAAAAGAAAAACACAAGAATCCTAAACTAAAAAAACAACTTTCAAAAACTACAGAAAGAGAAAGGGGAGGAAAATGGAAAAGCTACAAAAATACCAATTGATAATTTCTGCAGCTTTTTTTGCACTGTAATATTACAATATTCTTTTTAATTTTTTTAAAAAGGTAAATTAATTTAGACTGATTTTGAATTTTGAAGTGAAATGGATCATGATCAATTAATTTACCAAAAAACCTTGTATTAGAATTGGAATTTTTAAGTATTCTATGATTTTACTTTCAATTTCTTCCTGATTTTTATGTCAAATTTTTTTCTATGCATTAGTATATTCTATATATAGATCAGATTTTAGATACATAGAGTTCTTTATATTTACTATACAATAGTATTTGAAAGCATTATAGAATCTTTAATGTTGATTTATAGTGATCTTATTAATATAAAATTTATTATATTTTGATATAGTTAAAAAAATCTGTATATTAAAAAGTTTTAAATAAAGAATTAAGATGATTAAAGACACAATTATACAGATATATCATATAGTGCTAACATTAGTATTCCTTTGCAAAATATAGTAATGGATACTATTCAATCACCAAAAATAAAAATTTTGATTAATACCAGAATACTAATAAATCTATTAATTAAATTGATCAACATATCGATTAAATTTACCACAACAATATTGATCAATTAATCATAATGATATCAATCAATTTGTAATATATTAAACATAAAATACAAAATTTATTATTATATCTTATATTTTATCAATATTAAATATCATTGTTTATTAAGTATACAGATTATTATTTAATTCTATTCATTATCATAATCTTCTTCCTTATAATGATTATTATTAATATCATTACTTCTGTCATTTCATTAATATCATCTAAAATTTTTACTTCATTATTTGATTTTACTTGTTTAAGATGTTTATGATTAAAAATCCAATTATTTTTTATTTCATCACATTTGTTAGAAATTTCATAGCATTTAAAAGATCTTTAGTAAAGATGGCGTTGCAACATTGTGACACTTATTTGTCACCTGTTGCAACTTAAATTTTAATAATGTTGCAATTCGTTGCAATATTATAATACTTATTTGTCACCTGTTACAACTAATTGAGGCGTCATCTTTAATCTTTAGATTAAATTAATATTAATTACGTTTTATGATCTATTAATATAATCTATAATAGTTTCATAAGATGGTCTTTTAATTCTATTAGAAGAGGTTAATTCTTTTAAAAATTTAGAGATCTATTAATTATATTTATTTCTCATTTATAAGAAATAAATTTATAAATATAATTAGAATTAAATATAAAAATAAAATAAAATAAATATTTAATAAATTAATAAATCTTATTTTTAATTTAAATGATTTATTGATTAAAACATCTAAAAGTTATAATTAAGATATTAATTTTTCAGAAATAATAGCAATATTAGTATTTTTTTCTCTAAAATGCCTTTTAACATAATTAACAATATGTACTAAAAATAAATCTAAAACTAATAATGATTGTAAATTAGAAAATCTTTCAGCATGTTTAATCTAAACATTTTTAATTCAATATAACATTTTATTTTTATTTATTTTTCCAGTTGGATTAGTATAAATAATAACTTCTTGTGAAAAATTTTTTTTGAAATTTTTTTAAATTTAAAAATTACAAGAAAAGAAAGTTTAGTTCTATCTATCATATAGATTAAACTACTGTAAAATTAGTTTTTTCATGACCTGTTATACAAATACTAATAGTTTTTGCTTCTATTCATTAACAATAGTATTATTTGGTAAATTAAATATCAATGAAATTTCATTTATATTACTAATAAATGCTAAAAGATAATCATGTTATATTTGTCTATACATAATAAATGCTAAAAATTCTTGTTATTTTTTATATAAATTATTTGGTGAATGCTAAGCAATAGTAGTATGATGACAATTACTTAAGTTATTATCCCTTAAACTGTAGAGCAGGCAAATTTGCTTGCGAACATAAAAAAAAAGTATTAATTTTTTAATAAAAAATAAAATATTAATATTAATAATAT